CAGTAAATTTAGTTGTAACTTCCAACTTGGAAGTGAAGTGAAATATATTTAGTTGGCATTTTAAAATTCTCGGTTTCATTTTATATTTCTTTCAATTCCTAATTTAACTTCAATCACTTGAATCGTTTACGGTATCGTTTCATCAATTTGCCATAATATTGCAATCGAATTTCTTTTGATTCTATCTATCTATGTACATTCGAAATGTTTGCAATGTGCGAACTTAAAGCAATCTCAATCGAACAAATCTTTTAAAATGTTAGCAACTGTTTCCAAAATACTTTTCAAATACTTTTCTTTTGCACTTAATACTAACGATACTTACGAGTTCAAACTTTGAGATGGATGCGTAGTTGCACTTTAAATCCAGTGAGCGATATTATTGTAATGTACTGAACTGATTTTTGGGCACGTTTAGCCAAAATGGCTCAGGGTTCATCAAGTCCCAATTAGGACTAAATATGTGCGCTCGGTGCTTCTTTCAATTAACCCGTCAATCTTAATTTGAAGTGCAACCAATACAGTGTAGCGAAATGCCAAGTGCGGAAATGAATCTGAACACTTGCGGCTACGAAGTGGATGAGCTGTTTTTTATAATTTTAAATTTTTTATTTTGATTCGTTCTCCCTTCATGCAGGTTGAAACAACATTTGTGGGAGGGATTTTTATGTACTTTTTTTGAACGAAGTTCGATTTTCATTATTACTTTGGACTTTTTCAAATCTATAGTTACAATTAATTGAGACCTAAGTGCATTTCCACTCAATAGTTATAAAACCAGCGCGGTTTTTATGGGATTCACACAATTCAATTCGTTTCCCTTTACTCTGCAGTGCCGCAATACGAGTACCGCAGTGCCACATTGAAGCGTTCTTGTGCTTCTTTTATTGTTGTTGTAATTGTTTTTGTTATTATTGCAGTTGATGGTTTGACTAAAGTTTACCACTTTGGCAGCAATTTTTTTTCAGGCACTTAACGTTTTTGCATCGTCTGACTGCATTGCACATCGCTACTTCTTCGATTAAAAAACAGTGAAAGAGTTTTTCGTTTTCATTCTAAAAGTGCGAGTTTGTTTACAATTTGTTTTCGTTCGAAAATAGACGTTTGAGTAGATCTTTTGTATGCAAACAAAAAAATTGAAGAAAATTTAAAATAAAAAATACGCATTCGACAATAGAATTGCTTACGTTCTAAGTGGCAGCTTCCATTGCCTTTTCCTAGCTGTTCGCTTTCCATTATGTTTTTTTCAACTACAATCAATATAACAATTTTCTGCTTCTCTGAGGTTTATATATTGTACTTTTTATTGGACTTTTTTACTAAGTACGAGTACGAGTATGACTACGAGTATTCGCAAAAACGAAAACGACCAACTTTTTGACAAACTTCTTGTTAGGCAGCACAAGGAATGAAGCCATCCGTCCAACTACAATAGTGCAGCATACGTAATTTGTTGGAAGCGAGCTCGCCAATGCCGCTGCTTGGTTACTTGGTCCGTGCAGTTGCTTTTGTATATAGAATCCCATTTCCTTTGACGGCATCCCGTTTTGGCGGTTGTACTTGTCTGTGAAAGTGTTTTTAAATAAATTATATTTTGCGTCAGTACAGTGTAGAGTGCAAGTTTATATGCACCAACTATCTGTTATATAATATGTATTTCACAGTACATGCTTTTGTGCCCAAGTTCCGCTGTATTTAGTTGCACTGTAGTTAAAAAACATTTCATGTTGGAGGTCTCGAGCATTTTGTAAGCAGTACTTTTATTTTAACTGACGTTGACTTAATAGCTTCGTGGCAACTTTTCTAACATCAAAGACATCTTAGCGGCTTTTATTGTTAAAAGAATATATATATGCAACACACTTCATCCCGCTCCAGAGTACGTTTCTGCTAACTTGAACCCCAGCCACAGTTTTTCGTTGCAAGTGCTTTGCTTCTTATTTACCTTTTTGCACATTGTTTAATTTTCACATAATAACAGCGTTGAAAAAAAAGGGAAAAATATTCAGTCTACGTCTTCTAACGACTGATTCATTGCATGAAAATGTCACTTGAAAGTTCCTTCGCTGTAAATTGCTTAATAGTAGCTTTTGTGGAGTAAGAAAATTGGTTTAAACGAAGTTTAGGAGAAAGTACAAATAATTTTTAATTAATTGCTTACTTAATAGGATTAAGCAATCAATCAATAAAATAAACAATGGTGGAATTATTTACCATAAGATTCCTTAATACTGTAATGTATAATATTGTGCCAATTAAAATAATAATTACAACAATTTCATAAAAATGTTTATATATTAATTTTAACTATTTGTATAAACCTCAATCAATTTTATTTATATTAAAAATACAATGGTAATGAAATTTAATAATAAATATATAACATATGCAAATATAAATATTCTAATTTTCGAAGTATTCTGAAAGTGTGGACACTTCACAACTATTTCATCAGGATTTAAATAGTAATTTAATGTCTGACATTATTTTGCTATGCCATAAATTCATAGAGAGATTAGTACGTAAAGTTACCGGCTTATGTTATTTAGAAACTAATATAGTTAGACTATGTGAATCCAATGTGATACCATTAATCCCACTAAAACCGTTGTTGAGCCATCCCTCAGCCCTTCTTTTTGATTTCAGAAATTATATTATATTCTAAGAACTTTGTCAGAGCCACGTTAGATATAAATGTTATATCATTCAAGTAATGTAGGTATCACAACCAAATCATAACCATTCTTGAATTGTGATTTGTTGAATTTTAACAGAGAATATGAAAGTTTTTTCTTTCTTCCAATTGCCACTGCTTCTGTAGCAATCACTGAATATAATATTTATTAATAAGACTTTTCGATTTTTGAGACATGCGTGCTTTTTTAGGTTCCATTTTATCCAGATATGCATCGTGTGTCAACAATTTGTTTCTCGAAATGCTTCGTTCATGCTTTGTTTTATTTCATTTAGAAAAACTCTATACTATAGAATATATACTCTGTATACTATATAATCATGAATTCAAAAATTAAAATAAAAAAGTATTAAACTAAAAATAACTAAGATAAAGGGTATTAATTGTTTAAATTAAAACTTTAGTAGATCCTTTTTATATCACATTCTTAATTACAGTGAAGGAAGACGCATGCCACAAAAATTATTCACTTGAGACATTTGTTTGTTATTTTGGTCTACCTAAAGTTCAATTTAAACTGCCTACTGCCTATGCATAAGTATTTCTATTCACAAAATTGTATTTAACTTTTGCTTTTAAATCCTTGTCATATTTTTTGACAGCAAATTTACATAGATTACTCTGAACTATGCTTTTCAACCTGACAACTATAAAAAGGACAAAAACGTCCTTTTGACATACGACCACATAGGGATTTGAGAGCAGTTTTTTGCTTCTGAAAATTGCTGACGTACATCATCGTGGGCATGTAACCATCATTTAAAATGTAAAAAATCGTGAATTTATATGACTTGTACAATTTTAATAAATATTTTTTATTATAGCCAACACAACGAATGTTAAATGCTAAGTGCCATACAAATTTTGATACTACGAAGTACCAATCAAACCTATTTAGAATTCGTTATGGCAATTACAGCGAAGATCGTTATATTACTAGTACTACTTAGAAATTGATTTCACTAATTAAACTGCATGACTTTAGTACACTACATAAATTTTCAGCTTCAATTGAAATCCTCCCTCTTCACACTTGCTTAACCCACCAATATCCTAACCCATATTTGTAATTCCTTACATGTTATATGTCACATAGATAACAACTACTCGTTATCACAACAACAATAACATCCCTGAATCGATCATCTCATGTTTTTTGATTGTTATTTTTTTTTTCAAATTAGGTATATTCTTTTCTAATTCTTTAATCTCTGCATATTTATAATGCAAAAATAACATATAATACAAAATTTATTTATCCTCTCTGCCTAATAATATAGCGATTATAGATTTATTGAAACTGGTACTACACTTCTTCTATCATCTTCTTCTATTTTTGGTTAACATAGTTATATATTTTTGTAGTCAGGATCAGGATAAGCAAGATAAGCTCAATATAGACCCATGAGTGAGAATATATAGTAATTATTCCATTGCTAACAAAATATAAAAAACAAATTGGAAAGCTTGAATCCCAAAGTCCTGGCACTAAAATTAAATAAACAATTGTTTCGTTCAATCATAAAAAGTCTTTTATTCGATTATTGATAATTCAATTAATTATTTATAATAAATATTAATTTACAATAACTAAATTAATTTTAATATTACAATGCACTTTAAATGACATCAAATTTGCTAATATTTACGGCTGTGTTTTGTATGTATGTCTGTATATACATGCAAATATAAAATATTTTGATTTATTTTACTTTTTTTAATGTTAAAAATTATTAAATTCTATATTCTTTACAATTTTAAATTTATTGATTTAAGTAGCGTTCAAGCATTTTAAATACAATTTGTTGAATTGGAAATTAACACTTAAATAATTAAATTTTATACTTTACAGATATAATTGGTCTGCTTAAGCTGCTCGGTGTACATTAGGATATATATTGTATATATATACATATACATATGTATATTTGCGTGTGTATGTGTAACTGTGTTAGTGTCATTATTTTTAAAATAATTATTGTTATTAGAATTTACTATGTGCAACTTTATTGTCAGGCATTTTAGTACAAAAAATTGCAAGCTAAATTTTAAAAATAAACATTAAATATAAATATGTTGTATTTAAAATTAATAATTAAAAAGATCATTGCATATTTAAAAATAATATTTGATAAAAATTATATAAAATTATAGTTAAGTTTTGTGCAGCGCATTTATGTCATAGTAAAAAAAGATTAAA